TAGGAAGTAAATTAGAACTACATTTAAAACATTCAAAAAAATTGTTTTTTTTTTATATTTATATCTTTATTTATAACGATAGCACTTTTTTGATAACAAAATTAACAAAAAAACGCATTTCCTGAGACCGCAATTTTTATTAAATATGTGTAAATTTTCTTTATAAAATTAAATACAATTAAAAACTTAGCAAAGTATTGTACAAAAATAGCTTGTAATTATTTTTACAAATTATAGCCTTGTGATATAACATATTAAGCTGTTCCTATTTTCTAGATAACAATGCATTTATCTTTCTTTCTCAAAAAAAAAAAAGTTTTGCAATTTTTTTTAAATTACTTTTCTTCCCTAAGAAACAAAACATTGCTTTGAAATAAAAAATAACAAGTACCTAATAAAGGCTCATACCTGTACCACAGAACAATCTGCTACTTCATTTAAAAACGGTGTGACTCCTTGTTTCAGTCATTTCCCAGTAATCATGTAATTGGTTGATATAAAATAGATTACAAATCTTTGCTTTTTCAAAAAAGAGTCTTTTTAGCTCCACATTATTTAACCAATTATTACGTTCTGTTAGATAGGAAGAAAACCTACAAAAAATTAAGTAATAAAAGATATAAATTTATTTTAATTTTGATGTTTCAGTGTATCATCATTCGTGCAAACAACGTTTCGAAATTTCACGCAAATCGAGCAGAGAGACCATTCGAGAAAAGCTTTTTCTTTTGTAATTAAAATGAAAATACAATGTATGGTCACCCTAGTCAAAGTCATAATACAAACATGAAACGATAATTATTAAGCAAATAGCGAAGTAAATTTGGAAATACCGAACCAAAATTAACATCTAAACCAAAATAACCATTTGTCTATACAGAAATAATAGCAATTAAAGTCGAAATATCACTAAAAATCAGTTTGACATGACGCGCAGTATTTGCATAGTGTTTTGTACTTACGAATGAATTATAATATTACATTCTGGATGCCACATACTTTTGCAACCACGCACAATACATTTAATGACCATTTTACTAGTTTTGCCTCTGCATTATTCAAAAATTCAAAAACAAACTTGCGAAATGAACATAAACATCCGCCAATATACATGTTTAGGCCCAAATATAGGCATTTGAAGAGGCATCCAATCACGTATGACTTAGTGTCTCGCCCGATTGTGTGAGGTGAGGTAAACACCGAAGAAACACCGTGCCGCTGGCAGTCGCTCAACGCGCGGACTGACGACTAGCTTTAGTGCAGCGACGCCGTCGCAACGTAATTTTTGTGGTGATCGTGGCAACGATTTCGTGCGACCATTTTGGTTTTACCAGGTCTAGATTTTCAGTATTTGTGCGCGTTACTTCGCTGCTTAAATTGTGTTTCGTGAAGACCGTCTCGGATTCGGTTGTCTAAGCTTTGCTGTGAGTCTACTCGAGCCGCGTGGTTACCTCTGATCATGTCGATTTTGTTAGCAAATTTATGCAACGACGAGGAATTGCGTAGTCTAGAACATGAGACGCCGGGTTGACTAATTGTTGGGAAGTTAATGTTTAATTGTACCGTCGCGTTAAGTGCCTTAAAGGGTCGCGTTCAGTTCTCGAAATAATTTGTTGCTGAGTAAACGGAAGTGAACTTTGATCCACCGTTCATCAGTCGTGCCGCCTGTTACGTTTTTGATTATAATTAACGGGATTTAGTTGAGTTGTGAACGTCAAGTGCTAAACTTCTGTGCGCATTCTGACAATATTACTTCGCGTCAACGAGTTGCTTTGTGCCATTTGATTTAACTCGGAGATATTTTCCTGTGTCGGTTAAAACCGCTAAACTTTGTGACCCGCGAGAACCAGCGTTCGTATTAGATTATAGATTTGTGCTAATGGACGCTAGACTTTGAGTGACACCGAGTGACGCCGCTGGAGTAATACCACATAGGGTGGCGGTACTGGAGTCTGGGTTGCTGCTGATTAAAAAGGGCTAATTCAGGTTAAACATGTATACACTTCTCACACACTACTTACATGCACCTACTTAACGCCTGAACGAGCCTTGGGACAGTCTTTAACCCCCGTTCATCAGTCGTGCCGCGTGTTACGTTTTGATTATAATTAACGGGATTTAGTTGCGTTATGAAGTTAGTTAAATGTACAATAAAGTTGATAGACTGACATAGTGAATTGAAGAAAGAAATTGTCCATTTGTGCCGCCGCTGGAGAATACCACACCGGGGGGCGGTGCCGGAGTCAGGGTTGCTGCCGACTTCAACGGTCCAGTCAGGTCAACCATAATAAACACCACTAAACACTACTTTACATGCACCTACACACCTACGGCTTGATCGAGCCTTGGGACAGTCTTTGCCTCAGCATCAGGTAAGTCGTATTAAGTAGCTAGTCCATATATGTTAAATATCCATAGGCATTTGAGCCCCACATTTAGTTGTCCGTCGAATCTAACAGCTGTTATGGGCCCCTGTATGGTAGACCTTAGTCTGGGCAACTAGGTGCGTGTACAATACAGTAAAAACTATTTGACAAATAGATTTTGGGTTGTCATATAACGGCTTTTAAGAATAAATCTAAAATAGGGGAAATATGTAAGAAGCTAGGCAAGTTATTCATCGCAAATATTTATTATGTGTTTAAAAGAAAAAGCAAATACTTGCATGATAATAGTTTTTGTCAAGTTTTGTTATAATTTTTTACTTATAATTCTTGCCGTACTGACAATTAAACTTATACTGAAATTCATGATGGCTGTCAATGAGGTAATATCAGTCGTCACGTTGGCTTTCCTGTAGGAAAAACAGGGGTTACTTAAGGTCATTTGATTATTCCTAATGTTGATATTAGGAGTGTGGATTCCAGTTTGTCTATACTTCCGTGGAATCAACTACCCCATTAGACATGTGTCAATTGTGAGTGATTCGTTCATTTGACCCGGGTCGCATCAAAGTATTGATGATTGCAATTACACTTTTTGAACGTTAGGGATCAAACGATTAACAGTAAGTACGACCAAGATCTAGATCACGGAGTACTGAAACTCGAAATGATCCGTTTGATTGATCGACCTGAATGACCCGGTACGTAAAAGGAATCAATACTTGGATGATCGGGTCACTAGAAATGAATGATTGACGCATGTCTGCTCCATATTAACGCCCGTGGGTGACATAAGACGCGAGAGAGAAACTGAAACATGAGATGGGCAGCGGAATATACCTGATAACAAGTCAAAATAATAAAAAAACTGTAGTTACCAATCCGCCTGCCCTACGAGAAACCCGTTGCTCCACGTCGTAAGTGGCTAAGTGGAGACAAGCACAGTGGCAAAATAGTAGGTTAAATAGATAAGTTAGGTATTTAGACAAGTGTTGTAAATTATTAGGTATTGTGGTACCATCGCTAGCTGCAGGCCGCGCAAATTGGGCACCCGCACCTACATTGACCCCTAGTCAGCTGATTGTAATTCCACTGCTGGTTTTATGTTTGAGTATTTTCATGATTTTTTTAATGAAATTATCGTTTCATTTAGCTGTAATAACATGATGGTGCGTGAATAAAGTTAATGAAACATTGTGAAAAGATGATTTTTTTTCCTCGGGATCGAATTTCTTTCTGACCCATCATCAAAGATATCGTTAGTACTATCGTCTGTTTTCGTTTTCTGGAGCGTTTCACTAATACCCGGTATATATAATAATCATTCCTTTCTATGTAAAACAGCGCAATAGATGAAAATTTTATTACTATATATTAATACATTCATAAAAGTAATCTACTCGTAATACATAAAAAAATAATATTTCTTTGTTAGATTTTATGGCCTGCCATACCTTTCATCAGATTGCGCTTAAACTTTGTCAACTTATTGCTTGCACTTGTGCGAAGGTTTACAGGCATAGTACCTATAATTAACTTAAAGTAAGTGGCGCGGGTATCGTACCGACAAATTTATTTGAAAGGTATATATCATTCAACTTCAATGAATGTATTATCATTTCTAATTAAACAATATAACTATTCCAAATAAAAAATAAAAATCCACATTTTTTTCTTCTATGGCAGCAATGCGCCGGGTTAAAAATATTTATTACAATCCAAAAATAATGGTTACAAGTTTGTGAAGCTAAGAAGCTTTAACGTGTGACGTGTAATCCTTTTTTTTACATGGGGAAATGCTTACGCATGCCCGCCTCGCGGGGCAAGGACGGGTTATGTTGGACTCGCACCGACTAAAACCCCATGGTTTTCCACCTTCGTCGCATATTGGCAGGGCCACGGGAGCGCTTTCGCACAGATCTGCGGCCCCAACAGGGCTGCGGCCCCATGGCGGCTCTCCCTCCGGAGAAGAATACTCCTCCCCCATCTCCTTCTGAGGTAAGGCGCACCAGAAAGCATGGCGCGCCCTCCTCCGCGGCCTCCAACTTCACATGCGCAACAGACGCCCCTGTGTCCGATGCGCAAAGACCATGGGGCCAGGAAAAACTAGCACTCAGAAGCACTAGCCTTCTTGACCCCAGCGGCGGATGTGCTCTATGGCTCCGCCGCCAACCATGATTCGGCTACGGAGGGTAGGGAGAGCGGTGCCTCGCAATACCGACACTCCCCTCCCTCCGCAGCCCCACCACCACCACATCAATTAACGGTGCGGCCCCGTTAGAGTCGCGGAGGAAAGGGCGAGTGGTGCATTGTCATATAATCATCACTCCTCTTCCTCCGCGACTCCACCTCGGCTGCAGCGGTAGGGTGAGAGGACACCTCTCTCACCGCAGCCCACCGACACACATCTGAAGTGGGCTCGCAAAGCCCACTCGGAGTGGCCACCTCGGGCCGGCTCTACACCACGGGCCAGCCAAGAGGTTCCTATTTGTTCACCCCGGGTGACCAAGCCACGGCTACTAAGCCCCTCCGCTACGACTAGTCGGGAACCCGTTCGGGGACGTGACGTGCATTCCTACGACTGACAGTTTTTTTTCACATTTATATTTCGTGTAGAAGCGCTCATCCAGATGGACTGTGTGGGAATCTGCGGCTCGGATGTGCACTACTGGCAGAGCGGCGCGTGCGGTAGTTTCGACATGAAAGAACCCATGATAATGGGCCACGAAGCGTCGGGGGTTGTCGCCAAGGTAAGCACAATTATTTAGTTTCTTGTGTAAAGAAACCTGAACCTGTTTTTAGGTTTCTCTTGCGACTTGGTACACATATAATAAGAGTTGTTTTACTATCGTAAGTCTTGGGTCGGGTTTATCAATGACAGTTATTTTTATGCTTTATGTGTCACTGATGCGTTTTTAACATATTAATATTAAAGTTCTCGATATCGATCGGATGTACGCGAGATAATTTTTTTTTGCCAACTTTAATATAATGGATTTCCGCAAAGGAACGCCTGATTCTATTAACAAATTCATGATCTACACTTTTTTACGTAGTAGAGCCAAGCTGCAGCTATATTATAGTTGTAGCATAAATGGATCGCCTGGACCGGGGTAGGACCACGCTCTCACAGAATACTAGCGTGAAATAGCGGCTTAATGCTGCTGTGTTTCGTATGGTGAGTGTAGAGAACCGGAGACCCTTTTTACTGGATACGAGGCATTACATCGTAGCCCTCAGTGGTAGCAACGCATCCGCTCTTTGATTCTTAATCGAAGATAGATGTAGATGTCTATGGGCCACAGCATCCACTTACCATCAGGTGGACTGTTCCTCGTTTGTTGTTGTTTATATTCTATAATAAAAAACACACCTTCCATGTTTTTTTTTATAGGAGAGGGAGCAAACGAGCATGCGGCTCACCTGATGGTAAGTGACTACCGTCGCCCGTGAACAACTGCAACACTAGGGGAATCGCAGATGCGTTGCCGGCCTTTTAAAAAGGAGTAGGCTATTACCTATTTATTTATTTCAATTATCAAAATCTAACCTATGTCAGCTTTTTTTATATAATAAGGGTGACAAACGAGCACGCAGTCATCCTAATATTAATTAGATACTGCATCCATCGACTTCCTGCATGTTTTCCCAGGTCGTCACTCTTGTTACCGTACACTTCGACGACCGGTACGAAGACACCGTAGGAGTACCGGAAAAGACATGTTAGAACCGGTGCCAACTCTGGAGCGCACGTCCACAGCACAATTGGCGGAATTCCGTCAGGCCCACTCGAGAAACTTCCTTCGCTTTGCAACGATATTGTTTATTATTTTTGCTTGTTTCATAAGAGTCGCCGTGTGGTGACGGTGTAAAGGACCCATGTGTACATTTTGTCCTATGTGTGTCGTAAGGAATGACGAAAGGAAATGCTGATACAACTCATTGCTCTCCCACCCCAACGTCTTGTGGATTAGAATTACCATCAGTAATCATTAATTAATATTATTAAAAGTGAATAGGGACACTATTTCAGATTGGAGCGAAAGTGAAGAACCTGGAGGTGGGTGATCGCGTTGCTATCGAGCCAGGCGTGCCCTGCCGTTACTGCGAGTTCTGTAAGACAGGCCGCTACCACCTCTGCCCCGACATGAAGTTCTGTGCGACTCCCCCTATTCATGGCAACTTAGCTAGATACTACAAGCATGCTGCCGATTTCTGCTACAAGTAAGTAACATTTTTGTTTGTTTTTTTAAATATAGAAGTGACCAACGAACTTACAGATACAGTCTACCTGATGGAAAGTTGCTACTCCATCATGGACCATGGACACCTGTAGTCAACTTAAAAGAATCTTTAAAGCTGCTCCCATTACCAACCGGCTTACATCGAGCACATATAAAAGATACCGCCATCTATCGGAGTCTGGAGAATATTTTGATAGTCACCACGGGGCTAATTACTCTTTATTATATTATGTTTGAAAAGCTAAGCTATTAGTTTTTTAATTGTTGTGGCCTAAACATAATCTACAATCTAACTTCTTCATGTTTATGTGACACTTCGTCTTAAGAATGAATTAATATAACATGAGGAACTGGGTTGACCACTTGTTGTGCTGCCTTTTTAAAATATGTGGAATAGTTAGATTAAAAAGAGACCTTTATAATTAATAGAATCAGGCGTTACTTTGAGGAAATTCGTTATATTAATTTTCTATAAAAGAAATAATCGAACTCAAAATAAATTGAATATTTAATTCTCAAAATTAAAATTATTCACAACAGGTCCCCATACGATGGTAATTAAAATATATGACGGAATAGGGTCACCATAAGTGTTTTTAAAAACTATGACGTCAACATCGATGACGTCATTATTATGATTTCCGGGTTCACTAAGTTTTTCACTTATTATTGTTTTTAATAATAAAACTCACTACACGTATTTGATCTTTAATGGTTTTACTAATCACAATTACTCACTATTTATAATTAACGAATTCAACTAGGTCTGAACAGCACGACTGCACGAACGAGAATGAATGCTGCCCAAGCCGCCGCACGCCTTTTAAACCGAACGCAAGCGTGCGGAAGCTATCCCCACTTCCTGCGCCTTGAGAATAATTGCCTTTTAAATTGTTACAGCGATAACCTGCTTTTAATTATATTTTGAATTAAAGCATTTTAAATTATTTATAAGTAACAATAATCAACTTATTTTAAAATAAAAACAAAATGTTATAAACAATCAAGTTATAACGTTATTTCTGCAGTTGAAATAACGCTTATTAATTTTTAACACAATAATAATTGTTTAAGTAATGCGTCGATACGTCGCTTATACTTTGTTGCGCCGATACGGCCATTCTGATTGGTGGTGCGTGCTCGGCACCTACCAATTTTATTCTTACAGCTTTACTGCTGTTTGTTTATTATTAAGTGGCGAAGCTTACGAAGTCACTTATTGATTTCACGATGTCTGTCCGTCTGTCCGTCTGTCCCACGATTATCTCGAGAACGGTTTTGAATTTTCAAATTCTGTTTTCAGCAATCGATTACTGATCACCCAGGCATCTGAACCTCCTATTTTGAAACTGATTGCTCAACGGCAACCGTTAGAAACCGCTACAAAGCTGATTGCTTCGCCACTTTGCTATGCTGTTAGCTTGCTAGGTTTATTTGTGTTTAGACCATACATCAGGTCTACACACATAATCCTCGTAGTCTCGTAGAATAGAAATGGAGTGATGCTGTGCTCTGGGCGATCCTGTTCGCCGTGGTACACAGGGGCTCTATAGGAATTAGGATTAGGTCGATGCTGTGTTATACACAGTGGCTCTATAAGAGAAAACAGAAAATTATTTTGCAATAGTTAGAAGTTTTGTTTTTGAGTTAGGCTCTGCTGTTATAGTTCTTAAGAAGTCGATGGCCCGGGCTCACTTGTTTCACTAATACCACAAGGGTATGGCTCTCTTTCCGCCGATACGGCCCTCTGGTTCCCCGGTTGTGGGGCCCGACGTAGTTGGTCGTGAGCGACTTTTCGACGCCGTCCTCTGCCAATTACCTTTTTCAACAAATAACGATCATTTTCAAGTACTCTGCATATCTCATGGGGTTCACTTAATTTAAGATCTTGCACGGTTCCGGAGATGTGTAGATCAATTAGCTAATATCTAATTGATATCCGGTAAGGGCCTCCACCGTCATTAGCGTGTCCCATTGTTCCTATTTCTATTGTTCTATTGTTCCTTAATCACCTTCATTGCAGCGTGTGCGTCGACTATATCAGTGCTATTGTATTATAATTCTTTGTTTATACAACGCTAATCTGAATCATCAATAAAACACACTACATAATTTTGTTACAATTTTTATTTATAAAATACAAAATCTTATTAATTATTATCTATAAAATAGGAGCGAAACATCTCATCCACTAAAATATCGTTGTACAATGTGTTCCTTGTAAATATACTCGTAAAACTATATATTGAACATCCTTGAAACTTATATAGCAAATACATTAAGCAATATTCGCCACAAACTGAAGTCCACTCATTCTGAATCCTATCAACATTCCAGTTCCATCTTTTACAATTCCTTTTTAAAAACTCTAGATGATATCGTACAGGTGATCGTCCATATGAATCAAAATATTGACCGACGTCATTCGTATCGATATATAAAGCTACCCAATGTGACCCTGGTTTATCATCTGTATCCAAATTACATATTATATACGTTGGTACGTGGGTATACATAGGCAGTCTATTAGCTGCATAAACATTATTTTCTAGACTGGGGTGAATCTTTTTCAGATGTTGTTGTACATCTAGTGTATCCATGATATTACTGCTATTAGTAGATTATTACAGTACCTAGCTACTCAATGAATAACATAGGAATGGTCAATTATAGTGATTTCTACATATTAAATTGCATTTTTGTGTTATACAAATCGTACTTGAGTCATTGATCACCAAACAAAACACAATACGAAGAAATGTTGAGATAGGCAACGGAAATGTGAGATAAACTGATATGTTTCTAAATATTAAATTGCATTTTTGTGTTATACAAATCGTACTTGAGTCATTGATCACCAAACAAAACACAATACGAAGAAATGTTGAGATAGGCAACGGAAATGTGAGATAAACTGGTTGACGCATAAAGTAATTATCAACTCATTACGGAAATACTTTAGATTAGAATTTTTACGTACTGGTGGTATATAAGACCAACAAACGCAGTCATCGAGTTAGTGTACGGTCGTTTGGCTACAGTGGATCTATCAATAGTACATTTGTGTTACTTCAATACACCAAAGGCTATGGATGTAAGTGTTTATTCTATTGACTAAATTACTTTTTTTCTGTTATTTTCATGTGTGTGTATTATTTTATTTAAATATTGTGTATGTATATGATTAAGCCGTGGTAACTCAGATGGTTAGCGCTAGCTGTAAATTTCACAGTACGCGACCCGGGTTCGATCCCCACCAGCACCAATTAAATTGTTAATAGCAATTTTAAGTGCTTATTACCACGTGCTTGGTGGTGAAGGAAAACATCGTGAGGAAACCTGCATGTCTGAGAAAATTTCGAAGGCATGTGAAGTTGGCCAACACACATTGAGGGAGCGCGGCGGACATTTCCTTGCTCTAAAACCCTCTCAGAAATGAGAGGAGGCCTATGTTCAGCAGTGGACTTTAATAGGCTGTAACTTTAACTTTTTTAACTTTTATGATTAAGTGTTAACAAATTGATATTAACATGATAACTGTGTTGTTGCAGAAATCATTGAGCTTCGATGAAGATACCTATAAACAGTATTACTACTCGCCACTCTCCCCTCAAGAAGAGAGTGATGACCTCGTCATTAATAATAACACATGCGATGGTGGAAAAAGAAAATCGCAATCGATTGATCATTTTTTTGAAGCTGAATCAAAAATAAAAAAGAGGAAGCTGTTATCATCAACCGTAGCACGAGCCGCTAGAGATGGTGTATCATACATTTCTACTAATTCTGACGACGGAGACCAAGCGACGCATCTCATCAAAATTGAAATGTACGATATGAAGAAGCTATCCAAGATTCCAACTACTGATCATTGGAAACATGCTTCCACGAGAATTAAATATTACGTAAAGACTAATAAGGATAGCATCTACGACAACACAAACGCCCTCGTATACAATATAACAAAGACAATAGCAGAAAGTGAAAAAGTTAAAAAATACTTTTTTAACAATGACAGTCATTAGCTGATCATTAGTGAATGTGATTCTGTTTACTTCAATTACAGGAAGACAAGAGCGGAAGGAAGAGATGAGTGTGGCATACGTGTACAAAACACATCATTGAATAACAAAACTACAACACTGAGTGGAGAAGAAAACGAGAAGAGTATGCAGTACTCAAGAGCTGAATATCCATTCTTCAGTTCAAAATCTAGCCATTTGCTTAGTTTCGAAAACTGGCCTCTAGTTATGCGACAGAAACCTGAAGATCTTGCAGAAGCTGGTTTCTTTTATACTGGCCATGCAGACGGGACCAAGTGTTTCCATTGTGGTGGTGGTTTAAAAGATTGGGAAGATGATGATGATCCTTGGCAGCAGCATGTTCAGTGGTTTAGTCAGTGTGCTTATGTAAAATTTCAACTCGAACAGTGTTTTGTATTAGATTAAATAGAAGATTTATAAAGAAATAAAAAAAATATATTGCATACAATTTGTTTTATTTAATTTTATAACGTTTCACATAGTTACATACACACAAAATGCATTACACATAACACATAAAATCTAACACACAACACATATTATAACCTTAACTACTATAGTCTACAGTAACATTTCTGTTTTTATCTATCTCAATAATATTATCAAACTCAGCATAAACTATACAGTTAATTGTTTGTATTAATGAGGATTCAAATCGTACTTCTATTCTTACACTACCATGCTTTATGAGATTCCAATGAGTTGATGAGTTAGCTGATAAATCAGGAGTTAAGTCAAATGCTAATAGACAGTAACCTTTGCCATACTGTTCACAAGAGATTCCATTTCCTTCATTAAGAAAGTGAATACCAGTTCCCGAGAATAGAGTATGATATGCTGATGTAAATATGCTATTATTAAAAGATGGTTGCAAAGCTTTTGAAGGTATTTGTTGACCATCAATATATAAGCTGAAAGAATTAATACCATAGTTTTC